ATGACAAACTCATTCTTAGCTCATCAGAGTCTGAAGTTACCAGCTGTGTTTCAATAAAACGGTAATACTTCAGAATAATCGTCCGTCATTAATAGAGTAACTATGCAGGAAGTAATGCAGAACTACTGAGTACAATGACATTATCACTTCAGCTACTATTATTAACTTACATAGAAACAAGCTTAAATAATCAGTAAGTAATGTCAAATTTAGGATATATTTCCTTATTAGGTAATCAACAATTACGTAATGAGATTTGCCCTTCTAGCAAGCAGAATCATTGAAGGAAATAGAAACACAAGAACTACAACTGAGTTGACTTTCTCTGGTTGTTGTAATTGTGTGTTTATAAAGAACATTTGTTTTTGCAAAAAAAGCAAAGAAAATGGGATTACGTGATGTTGGCTGTTTATTAATGATGATGAAAACGTCAAATTTTGACTCCCTACTGGACAAAGAGCTGATTTAGAGCGATGGTCTATAGGGCAAGATAAACTTTGTGAAAAACCTTTTGTGCGTGTGTGTTTATATAATTTTCTAAAATCTATTTATAGTTTAGTTTTTGTCGATGGTCGTGCTATGTCTTCCATTCATTCTATTTTGTTGTATGCGTACTGTTTCATTTTTCAGATGGATGTGTGTGTGTGCGTTTAAATGTTCTGAAAAATCAATAAGTAGTTAATCATAAAAAAATAATTGAAGCCATTTCATGTTACAGCATGAGATCAAGCAGTATTGTTCATCAAACAAAATATATAGTATTTCCAAGAATATTTAGTGCACAAAAACCTTGCATCTATGCGATTACTCATACACATAAATTAAGAAACAGCATATGAATCTCAACAATGGTGACAATCAAACAAAGCTACACAAAATCCAGCTACATAATTTATTAATGCCGTAATGCATGCTGGGAGATATGGGTGAGTTTGGATTGGTGGTACCCAACATGCACTGTAGCTTAAAGCATTTCATTTTTGTCACCATTGTTGAGATCATAGGGCAGAGGTCTCAAACTCGCGGCCCGCGGGGTGATATTTTGTGGCCCCCCACTTGACATTCAAGTTTAATGTGAGTGCGGCCCGCCGTTGCGTTTGCCGCATTTTCCCTTATGGGCTATCGTGACAGCTTACGGTGGGTTTGTTGCTATAGTTGTCATAGACAACCACGAAGTACAAACATATACTGCGCCTGGAAAAAATGAGCGCGTCGCTTCAATTATGAGCGCGCTTGATGCACGCATACATTTGAAACAAACTTGAGCGTGCAAAATATGTGAGCGCGATATGTGAACAGCCCCAAGGCGAGCTTCTACCACCGAATCAGGCTCACGAGCGACGTGTTGGATATCCCTGCTCTAAAACAACGTGAGAATAATCATTTTGAGCTTGTAATATGTGTTGTGTCTGAACGCGTTCAATGAACGATAGTTCATGAACTTGTTCATATTTTGGGCGAACGTGAACTGAACGTAGCCTACTGTATTACTGCCTGATGAACGTTACAGTGAACTTGTTCATTCTAGTGTCTGTGAACCGAGGAGGCGTCGTAAGATCATTTAAAAGGCTTTTATGAGGTCGGTGAGGATGGGAAAATCTTACATGTCTGTGCAAACTCTGCCTGTCGACAAAATAATTGTTATCTGTGGTTGTATATGGGCTGTGGCAATAATAATAGCCTAATAATAAAAAAGAAGCTCGCTGCAACATATGGAAAAAAAGAACTATGAACTAGTTCATTTTTTGAAGTATGAAATATAAACTGAACTAGTTCATTTTAAAATTTGTAAACTGAACTTTGATCCAACAGGTTGATAAGAAGGTTTGTTTTGATATGTGCAAAGTCTGTAATTTGCCTGAGACACAGAAAGAATTATTTGTATTTCAAAAGCAATGATTGTTTTTCTAAGTATAATAAAAGGAAATGTGCCTTCAGAAAAAAGAAAAAAAAATACAATCAATATAATAGTGTTGTATAAAGAAAATAAAAAGCAAATATGACTATCATCACAACAAAGATGTTGTGTATAAGAAAAAGACAAAGAGAGTTTGTAAAATTAACTTCAGAAGGACAGCTCATGAAGAACCAATCATGTACAAAAAGGAATGTTCAAATTCAGAGGAACAGTTCAGAAGAAACGTTAATAATAAAGATTGAGAAGATTGGATCAGTTGTGCTCCATTTTTGGAATACTTAAATACAATTTTTTTTTTTTTTTTTTTAATACTTGATGCGGCCCGGCCTGACCCAGACTCTATCTCCAGCGGCCCCCAGTTAATTTGAGTTTGAGACCCCTGTCATAGGGTGATTATTGATGTCTAAGTAATAATGTGGAGAAAAAGAGCCTAATGCACTAAATGTTTTTAAAATCCTATATATTATTTGATTGACACTGCTGGGTCTCATGATATCAAATCAGCTACTATAATGCTTGAGAAAAAAAAACACATAACCTCAATGATCAAAGCATTAGACACTGAATAAGATAAATGACCCAGGCCACAACATGATGATTACATCACCATCACATTTTCTCTTGGCTTTTTTTTTCATTTGCCACGACAAATGTGCTTTATAAACACATAATTACAACAGCCAGATACAATCTTACATTAAAGAGTAAGGGGTTAAGAGCCCAACTAAAGCAAGCACGGACCACCATCATGGCGACTTAAAATACAACTGTTGATTTAATTAAAATGGCCATTAAATAAAGTAATCTGGTAAGTAATAAGTGAAGCTGGTAATGCTGTTTGAGCTGTGTAATCCTCTGCTGAAATCTTCAGAAATTTAATGACTTATTTTATCTTCAGTGGATTTCATCTAAGGTTGTGGCTGAAGTCAGCTGTAGTTCTTGTGTAATAAATACATGCTAAGCTAAGTATACTACACATACATTTACATATACTTAATATAAATGCACTGCAAATGCACTTTTAGTATATTATACTTAAAGTCTGCTAAATTGGACCAATTAATTTTGCTCTTAATGTAAAGTTATGTTGAAATAGTGCTGAGTTCCAAATAAAGATGGTGATCTGGACCATTTTTTTGAAGGGAAAAAAATATGTTTGAAATAATGATCCAGATCACTTGTAGTTCCTGCACTTGAGTAATTATAGATGCTATTTAGGACCACAGAGTAAAAATAAGACAATAGCTAACATCTTAGACACATGTTGTGATTAGTAATTAATTAATAATTCTTTATTTGTCTTTATTTATCAAAAATACCTATTAGTTCTTAATGATGACAAACTCATTAAGTAATTATTGATTACTTAATAAGGAACTATCTTAGTCCTAAATTTGATGTTACTTACTGATTATGTATCTATTATTAGTTTGTTTCTATATTCAATAGTAGTAGGTGAAGTGTTAATGTAGTTCTAATCATTAGTTCTGCATTACTTTCTGCTTATTAATGACAGATGATTATTCTAAAGTTTTACCGATAAAACAATCAACTTTGTCAGATGTTTCTAAATTCAAAAGAGCTTTATTTTCAGGTTTTGGGTGAGTAAAGAAATTAACACTTTTGTTCAGCAAGGATGCATTAATTGACAGAAAAGTAAAAGTCTTTACTATTACAAATAAATGCTGTTATTTTAAACCTTCTATTCATCAAACAATCCTAAAAAAAAAAAAAAACGTAAAGTTCACAAGTTTCTATTTGCACAAAATTGTTTTATTATAATAGTTTCTGAAGGATTGTGACACTGTGTGAGTACTGAAAATTCAGCTTTGATACCAGGAATAAATTACATTTTTAACAGTTATTTATTTTTATTTTTTTTCACATAAACTTTAAATTGTATTTTTGATCAAACAAATGCAGAGCTAAACAGAGGTTAACTAAAATCAGTCAGACCTGGTCTATAAATTTTTCTTGATGTCCTTTCTGGAGTTTGACTGTTTAAATGTGGAAATTGAAGCTTAGACATTCTGCAAAAATATTTGCTTTTGTTTTCCACAGGCAAAAGAAAATGATATTTTAAGGGAAAAAATAGAATCTGGGAAATATGACAAAATTTACATTTTTAAGTGAATAAACTAACAAGAAAATAAAATATTTAAAGAACATACCTGAATAGCAAGGAAGTGTAAGGATTTCACTTAATAGCAAGAAGTGTAAGGATTTCAGTGTAAACAGAATAACTTAAATAACTTAAAGTAACTGAAGTAATTTGCAATTAGTTTTACAAATACAATAATACATACAAATACAAACGAATACAACACAAGAACATTTACAAAATAGCATATACCACTTTACAGTTGTCCGAAGAGCTTTCCTGATTTATTATTATTAGCTCTCCATGAGGATTCAGTGGGAGTTCAAAGGAGACTTAAATACGGATGTTGTGTTTGTCAGGCACAGTTAAAGCTGGTTTCCTCTCTCACACCACACTGAGTGCTGTAATAAAAGTGCATTTAATATTAATATTATTATATAATGTCTTTACAGCGGTGGCTAAAACTGATGTCTGTATAGGGGATATTTGTTTTTAATGATCCTACAAATTTGATTAAACCATCAATATAAGAGGAAATATATTTTTTGTAAATACTAACTACTAACAAAATACTAACGTTGTTAAAATATTTATCTGACTAAATGATATGGCAAAAAAGGCAAACTTAAGCTACATGTTTTAATTTCTTAATAAATGCAAATAGAAACACTAAAACCTCCCTGCAAAAAGCATACATTGATTGCAACATAATCAGTTATTAATATTTAGTTGGCTGTCTCTCTCTTGTTTTTGAACGTGTTCATAATTTTGTTAAATGACAGCCTGGCCAACAATGATGCTTTACTACAAATAAAACTGAATACAAGCACATTTTCAAGAATATTTAAATAAAGGGCGAAGTTGTCAATTTTCCTTGGCTAGACATCATGTGATAATTGTATATTTAATATATATTTAAGATTTTATATATATATATATATATATATATATATATATATATTAAAACAAAGAAAAAAAAATAAAGAAATATTTCTGCACTGCTTCTACGTCACTAATTAAACAAATAAAATTGATCAAGTGAACTCCTTTGTACAGACAGTCAGATGTTATTTCTTTCATTGAAGCACAAGATATGAACATTCTCAAATGATACTGGAGAACATGATGATTAGTTTTTACACAAACTTGTGGAGTTCATTTGGGGCACATACCGGGGTTAACTCAGAGAGGGGTGACATGGGACCCATGGACAAACCTATTTGGGACCCATACAGTAGGCATAACTCAGATGGAGGTGACATGGGACCCATGACAAACCCATTTAGGTCCCATAGTGGGGTTAACTCAGAGAGGGGTGACATGGGACCCATGGACAAACCCATTTGGTGCCCATACTGGGGTTAACTCAGATAGGGGTGACATGGGATCCATGCCAAACTCATTTGGGGCACATACTGGGGTTAACTCAGAGAGGGGTGAAATGGGACCCATGGACAAACCCATTTGGGGCCCATACTGTAGGCATAACTCAGATAGGAGTGACATGGGACCCATGACAAACCTATTTGGGGCCCATACTGTAGGCATAACTCAGATAGGGGTGACATGGGACCCATGACAAACCCATTTAGGTCCCATAGTGGGGTTAACTCAGCGAGGGGTGACATTGGATCCATGGACAAACCCATTTGGGGCCCATAGTGTAGGCATAACTCATATAGGGGTGACATGGGACCCACGACAAACCCATTTAGGTCCCATAGTGGGGTTAACTCAGAGAGGGGTGACACGGGACCCATGGACAAACCCATTTGGGGCCCAAACTGGGGTTAACTCAGATAGAGGTGACATGGGACCCATGGACAAATCCATTTGGTGCCCATACTGGGGTTAACTCAGATAGGGGTGACATGGGATTCATGCCAAACCCATTTGGGGCACATACTGGGGTTAACTCAGAGGGGTGAAATGGGACCCATGGACAAACCCATTTGGGGCCCATACTGTAGGCATAACTCAGATAGGGATGACATGGGACCCATGACAAACCCATTTAAGTCCCAGAGTGGGGTTAACTCAGAGAGGGGTGACATGGGACCCATGGACAAACCCATTTGGGGCCCATACTGGGGTTAACTCAGATGGGGTGACATGGGACCCATGGACAAACCCATTTGGGGCCCATACTGTAGGCATAACTCAGATAGGGATGACATGGGACCCATGACAAACCCATTTGGGGCCCATAATGTAGGCATAACTCAGATAGAGTTGACATGGGACCCATGGACAAACCCATTTGGTGCCCATACTGGGGTTAACTCTGATAGGGGTGACATGGGATCCATGACAAACCCAATATTTCACAACCATATCTTGCCTACATTGGCCCCATCATAAAATGTTGGCTGGATGTGAATTTTTGCAGTTTCGTTTGTGCCGTTACTGATGCAGAAATCAAACATTACACCTTTAACTCAATTTACTGGTTTCTTTGTTGAAATCTTTGAAGGTTTAGCCGGGCCCTGAAAGTCTTGCAAAAGAAAAAGTAAATAAGTGGATCCAAGCAGGCATTTAGTACTGCAAGCAGGACGGTCAGCTCCTTAATGATGTAGAAGGCCTGAGCTGTTGTACAGTCATGCAGAAGGGGACTGATGAACACATGCGGCAGTCTCACCATATGATAGGGCACAAAGCACACGCAGAAAACCGCCACCAGAACTCGCATGTTGCGTTTTGACTTGCTGAGCTTTGTGTCCCCAGGATTTTCCGGCATTGTGCGCTGAGCTTGTCGAAGCCTCTGTACGTTCCCCCAATAAAACAGAATCAGGGATACCAGCACAGACAAAAATACTAAAAAGGAAAGGATATGCATGACCATGTAGATCTGTTTGAGCAAGCTGTTATGAAAACTTTTACAGCTAAAACCACTGTTGGGAGTGTTTTCTTTACCAGAACCGAAAAAAACAGCAATGTAGACAACATTAAAGCACAACAGGAAAGTCCAGGTCACTATGCAGATGTAGCGGGTTGAGCGGACTGTTTGCAGCATGCGAGTCTCCAGTGGCCGTACAATCCTCATGTACCTGAAACAAAGGAGCAAACAATTCAAAGAATACAGAGAAGGCTTTCAAAATACAGAAACAGTGTTTGTGACATTTGTGCCTCCATGACTTGCTGAAGTAAATTATAATCATATGTTGAACTGTTAATTAGACTAGCCTTTTCTTTAGTGTGTAATATTTTTTTGAGATGTCTGGCCTGCACTGTTTACCCTTGGTGTAAAAAAAAAAGTCACATAACAGAATCATACCATTTTCCATTAAAACAGTAATATATCGTATAAAACAATGCATTCTGGGTTATTTTTGTCATTTTCGAGAAAATATCCAACAGGAATATACTGTGAATTAACACCGCTCGAAAAGTCGACGCTCAGGGGCTGTTTTCCAAATCACAACCTATACCCTCATTCACTATTCCCAACATTAGTTCACTAATATAGTCCACTGTTGCCAGTAGTTTACTGTAAAATATAGTTAGTTTTCGGGTCACCACTGTGCTGAAGAGTAGAGCCTGTGCTTCAGTCCAGGAGAAGACCAAGACAGATTGATGATATGTTGATTGTTGCTTTATTTAACACGCAGTGACTTGTGTTGTTGCTGGTCCAGTGGAAATCTATTTATTATGTACAATATTTGTTTTGGTGGTCTCAAATGAAATAAGTTCACAGTAATACCTTGCTCACATTATTTGTGCATTATACATTTTAGTTTATAGATTTAAATGACAGTTGGTCAATTTAAGGCAGTTGGTTTCTGCAAGTGCAATAAGTTAACTCAAGTTCCCTATCGGTCAGACCAATGGGAACCTTGCTAGAGAGGCCAATCTACTTCGAGTGAAACTAAAACAAGCCAATGCACATTGGCGTGCAATCATTTGCATTGGCGTGCAATCATCAGATTTGCAGCCTTGCATTTAATGAGTAGCTGTTGCGATTGCACACTAGCTTTTTGCTTTGGAGAGCCAAGCACTTTGTGTGCTGAACAGAGTGAATTTGAGAACAAGCCTCTTCTGGATCTCTCCACTTTGGTGCGGGCGTGACAGGACAGCAACGCAAGCAGTTTTTTTTTCTCTTCTCTCTCTTCTTTGTTTGTTGTTTTAAAACTGAGTAAACAAAAAAGCTGTTTTCATGGCTGGTAAGGTGCGTGGTTAAAGTGCTCAATGGCCGTTTTCACGGGTGGTAAGACCAGCGAGAGAGAACAGCACAGAACCTGAAAGAGAACCTGTCTGTGTTCGCCGTGACCGTTCCCCTGCGTGCTACAGCACCAAGGAGAGCAGTCTCTAAAAGAGCTTACACAGATAGTTTGTGTCTTCAAGATGACGTTCTATCTGTGTGTTTCTGGATGCGGTCATTGAGGCAGCGTTCGTGGATGAGTCATGTACCCACTGTGGGAAGATGACCATCTTGTGAGCTGAGGTCGAGACTCTTGTTCCTGCACGACCAGATGTCGATCACTGCATTGGAGGGAGCATCAGTCTCTGCGGACGACGGCTTGGACCCCTGCCTCCTTCAGGTGTGCCAGCGGTGCCCGAGTCGGACCCGGAAATGATGGCCATGATTTCCCGGTCCGCCAACAGGATCGGGCTTGTGTGAAACCCTCCACCGTGTCCCGAGCCCTCGAGGCTGGATGATTGGTATCTCGGGGTGGCGCGTGCTGGTTCTCAGCAACCCACTCCAGTGCCTTTCTTCCCGGAGGTGCATGAGGAGCTCACAGGGACGTGGAGGGCACCCTTCACTGCCAGAAACCGTTCCAGTGTCTCCTCCCTCACCACCCTTGATGGCGGGGCAGCTAAGGGATACAAGCGTATCCAACCAGTGGAGTGGGCCACTGCAATGCAGCTGTGCCCTAACTCCACTTGGCACAACCGTGGAGAACCGTGTCTTCCTTCCCTGGCCTGTAGGTTCTCGTATGACGCTATCGCGTGTCTGCAGGTCCATCAGGCCAAGGCACTGAGGGAACTTCACGAGGGTGGTCACGATCCACAAGTTCTCCAGGAACTCCGTGCCGCAACGGACTTTGTGCTTCATGTGATGAAGGTTCCTGCCCGGTCGGTGGGTCGTGCAATATTCACACTAGTGGTCCAGGAACACTATCTCTAGCTGTGTCTAGCCTCCACAAGCTACCGTTCAAAATGCTCACACAGAAACAGATTTTCAAATGCATGCGTCCCCGGGATTGGTTTGCAGCGATTGAGCTGAAGGATGTGTACTTTCATGTCTCGATTCTTCCCCGACACAGGCCGTTCCTGTGCTTTACATTCGAGGGTCGAGCATATCAGTCCAAGGTCCCTACCCTTTGGGCTGTCTCTGTCCCCGTGTGTCTTCACGAAAGTCACATAGGGGGCCCTTGTTCCCATGAGAGAACAGGGCGTTCGCATCCTGAACTATCTCGACAACTGTCTCATACTAGCACACTCTCGAGATCAGTTATGCGAACACAGGGACTTCGTGCTCAGACACCTCAGCCAGTTGGGTCTTCAGGTCAACTGGGAAAAGGGCAAACTCGCCTCCGTGCAGAGGATTTCTTTTCTCGGAATGGAGTCACAGACAGTGCACCTCACAGACCAGCGCACTCGGTAGGTGCTGAACTGCTTGAACACATTCAAAGGCAGGACGGCGGTCCCACTGACATTTTTTCAGAGGCTCCTGTGGCATATGGCAGCAGCAGCAGTAGCGGTAACCCCGCTTGGCTTGCTTCATATGAGACCGCTTCAGCACTGGCTTCGTGGCCGAGTTACGAGATGGGTGTGGCATCACAACACTCACCGGGTGGCAATCACACCGGCCTGCCGCCAGACCTTCAGCGCATGGTCAGATCCCTCGTTTCTTCGGGCAGGAGTCCCCTTGGAACAGGTATCCAAGCATGCTGTAGTATTCACGGATGCCTCTGCCACTGGCTGGGGTGCCAAGTTCAACGGGCATGCAGTGTCAGGGGTATGGACGGAACCCCGACTGCATTGGCACATCAATTTCCTCAAGTTGCTTGCAGAACATCTCGCTCTGAGCCACTTGAAAAGGCCGCTACAGGGCAGGGACATGCTGGTCCATATGGACAACACTGCGACCATTGCGTACATCAACCGACAAGGTGGTCCCCGCTCCCGTCACATGTCGCAACTCGCCCGCCATCTCCTCTGGAGTCAGAAGCATCTGAGGATGCTTAGAGCCATATATGTCCCTGGCATCCTCAGACTCCACCCCCAGGTGGTTCAGCAGAGCTGGAGAGAGTTCAGAGAGTCTCAGGTAGACCTGTTTGCTTCCTCAGAGACCTCTCACTGCCAGCTGTATTACTCCCTGACTGAGAGAACACTCGGCACGGACGAACTGGCACACAGCTGGCCCCGGGCCTCCACAAATATGCATTTCCCCCAGTGTGCCTACTTGCACAGACACTGTGCAAAGTCAGGGAGGACGGGGAGCAGGTACTTCTGGTGGCTCCCTATTGGCCCACCTGGACTTGGTTCCCAGAACTAATGCTCCTGGTGACAGTCCCTCCTTAGCCCTTTCCTCTGAGGAAGGATTTTTGGATTCAGAGATGGGGCACCTTATGGCACTTGCATCCAGACCTCTGGAAACTCCATGTCTGGTCCCTGGACGGGACGCGGAGGTTCTAGGTGACTTACCCCCAGAGGTACTTAACACCATCACTTCAGCACTGGCGCCGGCCACGAGACGTTAACACCCTGAAGTGGAACCTGTTTGTCGAGTGGTGTTTTTCTCGCCAAGAAGACCCCTGAAGATGTCCGAAAGGGTCTATGCTTTCCTTCTTCCAGCAAGGGTTGGAGCGAAGGCTATTTCAGCATATCACGACCACATAGATGGTTGGAAAGCACAACCTGGTCATCAGGTTTTTTAGGGGAGCGAGGTGGATAATTTCCTAATCGACCCCCCTCAATACCCTCTTGGGACCTTTCCCTAGTGCTTTGAGCACTTCCGGATGCTCCCTTTGAGCATCTGCAATCAGTAGACTTAAAGCTTCTCTCAATGAAGACTTTGCTACTGGTTGCATTGGTCTCTGTCAAGAGGGTAGGAGACCTGCACCCAAGGTTCCTACCCCTCCTTTCAGGGACCAGGTAGTGAATCTGCAAGCGCTGCCTTTGAAGGAGCAGACTGATCTCATGAAGTAGCGTGTGTGTGACACGCCAATTCGTATTTCCATTTTTGGCGTGCTATCAAGACGCATAATCACCTTTCAGCGTGTTTATGAACGGCGTTGACTTAACGTTATATAAATATATGACTTACCTCAACCCTAAACGTCACTGGGGTTAATGGCATTTATGACTGGAGATTTGACTGCGTGTACAGACACGCGGAATGACGCGGACGTTAATGGCGTAGACATATACGCAAACACGCGGATAGCTCAAAATGCGTAGAGATAACACGCCACCTGACTTGAAAGTGGCGTATATGTTTACGCAAAAGTCATGATGTCATGTTGGAAGGAGACAGACTCAGCCCTGACTTTGCTCTTTCCCATTCACGCTCTGCGTATGTATGTTATGCTGTGTATGTATGCTAAATAATTAATCAAGTTTAGATTTTTTTCTTCAGATTTAAAATATTTAAAAGATGACATATTTCCCTTATATTTTGATCATTTAATTGAACCGGTTAATAAAAAAAATCTCCACCGGATATACTTTTTGGTCACTGTTGTATATTATATTTTATATAAAAATACACTGTATATTACAATATTGTTTTAATTTGTTTTTCATCACCATAATACAAATAAATGTAATTATTTCCATAGAGTTACATTATCATTACACAATGTCACTGTGATATATAATTACAATAATAACAAAAATTATTATTATTTATTTTATAATTATTATTTTATAACTATTATCTTAACTAATATATGGTAACACTTTATTTCGATATTCCACGTTAGACATTCTACTAACTATAAGTAACTTTGCAACTACTTGTCAACTAACTGTCATTAGAGTATTAGTAGACTGTCCGCTTAATATTTGCTAACACTATTTTGTTGGTCCCCCAACAGATATTCTACTGACTATAAGTAGCTTTACAACTACATGTCACCTTATTCGACTAACAAAACCCTAACACCTAATACCCTAACAATCTACTGACAGTCTACTAATCCTCTAATGAGAGTTAGTTGACATGTAGTTGAAAAGTTACTTAAAGTTAGTAGAATGTCTAAAGTGGACTATCGAAAAAGTGGAACCTAATATATTTAATTATTAATAATATATAAATTATACAACTGATAATTATTTGCTATTTTTAATTATTTGACAATTGATTTTTTTCTTTCATTGTAATTAAAATATGGTTTTACTGTTTATTTTGGATGGATGGATGGATGGATGGAGGGAGGGAAGGATATCCATACCTGTTTGCGGCAATGTAGCCCATGAAGAGAATACTGGAGTACATGTTGAGGTAGGAAGCAGGAGCACCAAAGATACAGTAGATACGCTGTATTTCCACTGAAGTGCTTGCGTATTTGACAATGCGTAATATCAAACACAGGCAGACAAAAAAGTCTGCTATAACCAGATTCTTGAGATAGATTGTGATGCTGGACTGGCTTGTAGATTTACAAAAATACACATATATTGCAATGCTGTTGAGTGCTAGGCTAGCCAGAAAAACCAGAGAGTAAACAGATATGAAGAATGTACGAGCTGGCATTTCAGACAAGCCACAAGGTCCTTCAGTTGAATTCGTTGTGTTCTGGTCCATGATGCCCAGACATGAGACAGTCCGTTATCTGCTGAAAGAGAGGTTGAATTTTATGATACAAAATGGGGAGAGTTTCCAAAATACCACTAACACTTTACAATAAAGTTTCATTTGTTAAAATCATTTTTCAGTAATCTATTTAACAGTATTCTGGAAGAAAACAAAACTAGAAGTATTTTGCATTTCATGGTGTAAGGAGGGAAGGCTAAATCTGCTTATTTTTCAACCCTATTAGAAGAAAATAAACAAAACCCAACGTATTTATTTGAAACAGTGGCTAAACTAACGAAAAAAAAGCCTCAGAAGTTTCTAAGCATCACAGGCACAGCAGTAATGACTTCTTCACTTATAAGATTGATAATATCAGAGAGAAAATTATAACTATGCAACCGTCTACTACAGTATCGCATCAGGGAGTGCATTGTATCCCACCTAAGGAACAAATTTGATTCATTCATTACTATAGGAGAGGAAGAATTTTCGAAACTGGTTAAATCATCTAAATCGACAATATGTATATTTGACCTATACCAACTAAGATAATGAAAGAGATGCTTCCAGAGGTCAAAAATCATCTTTGTCATTAGGATACGTACCGATAGTGGATGTATCTCTCTATTAGTGTAACTCGATCTTAGTGCTGCATTTGATACCATCGACCACAAAACCGTTATCAGTTTGTAGCAGTAAATGAAGAGATGTCTTATTGATCACAAGTTCAGAATGGCGTACCACAAGGCTCAATACTCTCTTTGAACTAGCATACACATAACACATTATAGACTTCTATAATATAATGTTAGGCTGCATAGATTAGGTCAGCCAGAACCAGGAAAACTTCCCTTAAGTCCCATGAAGGGATCTTGGTTCTTATAGAAGGCCTTAGTCGCCTGGCCCCACGAATGAAGTGAGCGAGCAGAGGATGTCTCCCAGGTGGAACCTCGTCAACCAAGGCATGGCAAGCCGAAAAGAGTGGCCACATAAACCCTGAGCGTGGCGGGGCATGTGCAGGTTGATCATTTTTCCTGCAGGAAATCCACAACTGAAGCGATCTGGGAGTTGTCCGGATCTGCATCATGTACAACACACCACCTTTCGAAAACACCCCATTTGTCTTTCAAGTGGAGGAAGCCCTAGCACTTAGAATGGTCTTAATAACGGCAGGCGAAAGCCCAGTGTCCCTCAGTTGGTACCCATTAGGGGCCAAACATGAAGGTTCCACAGGTCGGGCCTGGGATGGAATGTCGTGACATCTTAGGACAGAAGGATCCTAGGACAGAAGGTTCCTCCTTTCCGGAATCGTCCATGGCGAGCCATTGAGGAGAGATCATCTCCAAGAACCACATTCTGTTCGGCCAACGCAGCGCTATCAATAAGAGGCAAGATTCTTGCTGGCGAACTCTGGCTAGAACTACCGGGAGCAGAGCCACTGGAGAAAACGCATACAGGCGAATTTTAGGCCATGTGTGCGCCATCGCATCCAGACCAAGGGGAGCTGGGTGTCTCAGAGAGAAGTAGTGGGGACATTGCGCTGTCTGATGGGAGGCAAAGAGGTCCACTTACGCTTTGTAAAATCTGATCCAGATCTAATCGACTACTTCTGGGTGGAGTTTCCATTCCCCCGACAGCAGTTTCTGTCTGGACAGTAAATCTGCTCACACATTCAGGTGCCCAGGGATGTACACTGCCCTGAGTGACAGGAACTTCTCCTGGGTCCAGAGGAAAATATTTTGTTCAGATTGCGTGAGCGCAGACCTCCCTGGTGATTTATATAAGAAACTGCCGCTGTGTTGTCCGTTGTCCACCCGCACTAGGACATGACAGCCTCTCAACTGAGGGAGAAAGTATTTTGGGGGCAGAAATACAGCCATCAGCTTAAGGCAGTTGATATGCCAATCGAGCTGATGATCCTCCCATTCCCCTTGAGCTGGACGACAACTTAAGACCGCTCCCCAGCCCAACAGGGAGGCGTCTGTCGTTAGCAATCTGCGACGACAAGGCCCCTAAAGTGGTAGCCAAGGCGACACTGGGGTCTGAGCCACAGAGATAGTGTACGAAGCCCACGGCGCATAATTTGTATGCCTTTGAGGATTGGCCCTTGGATGAAATCCCCCGGCTTTTAGCCACTACTAAAACGGTCTCATGTGCAACAGCCCCAAAGGAATCACCGGATGCTGAAGCCATGCTAGGTCAAGATCATACTGTTCATCAGTACCAAAAGATTTTAGGTAGTAACATCTTTTGGTACTGACGAACAGTACGATCTTGACTTAGCCTGACTTTGCTCATACAGTAGTTAGCCAAATGGTCTTGATTCGAGCGGGGGACAATTGTGCCCGCATCTTGATGGAATCCCAAATGATCCCAAGATAATTCGTTCTCTGGGCAGGACAAAAAACACTTTTCTTGGTGTTGAGTCTCAACCCTAGAGAAACTAAATGACCCAACACGATGTTTCTGTGTTGAAGCACCATCTCTTGCAATTGTGCTAGTATTAACCAATCGTAGATGTAATTTAAAATGTGAATGCCCTGGAGTCGGAATGGAGCCAGTGCTGCATCCATACATTTTGTGTACGTGCGGGGTGATAAGGCTAGGCTGAATTGAAGAAACTGAAGTCGGTGTGCACCCACGATAGTCGAAAAAGTCGACGTCGAAGGCACAAAGACACGAGAGGTATATGGTTTTCTCCATGATTTAGATAGCTCATAATGGAGGTCCTCGAAAAAGGGGAGAGACTGATGTTGAGGTCCCTCCCCCTTTGCACTGGACAAAAACTTATCCTTAAATTTACTGTGTTTGGGGGTCTCTTGTTCACAAGGCCAGTCAAGCTGCAATCTGGCCAACGTGCGAGTAACCACCTTGAGAAGCTCCTCGACAGATTTATCATTTTCGCACGAGGAACGCTCAGAGGTTGGCTGCTCGAAGTCCGGAGACCCAAGAGATTCATTATCACCCCTGCATGAACTGAAGAAGCACCGGGATGCGCTTTGCGATCACGTGAGGGAACGAGTAGATCTGGTGTACAAGCAAGCGAAAGGGATGGACCCGTCTCTTGCTCGTCAGCCAAATCCATTCGGGAGCCCCACAATGATAATGCGGGTGCGGACTGAAAGTAGCCAAGACAGGCGTGAAGCATTTTAACTTTGAAAAGCTCACAATGCTCGCACTCTCCTTACGCCAATGCAGGGACCGCATTGTCCTCCCCCAAACACACAAAGCAGTAAGCGTGTGTATCCAGTTCTGACATGGGACGAGAACATGGAAGGATACAGCGCTTAGCTTGCTGACTCATTACTCTTTTTGTGCTTTTTAAACACTTTTAAATGACGTTAGGAGATGAGAAAGAGTGAAAATTCTGCACACTATCGGGTATAAAGCTAAATAACTCCTAACAAAGATCTGTAGCCGAGAGAAAATTGATGCTTGCACACCAACACAGAGAGGTCTCTGAAGACAAAAGACCTGATGATGCATCTGCGGCTCATCAATTTATAGCTTTGTGTTGCGGGTGCGGCCCAATGACGTCACCAACCGAGGCTCGGTCGATTCTATCGATGTCTTTACACACTATATTCGCAGCGGGTCACGATTAAAGACGTTCCCAAAGCGCTAAGCAGCGCAGCATCGATTGTAGCTTTAGAAAGGGAACTGTAAATATACTTACAAGAGAAACAACTTTGTATAACTCATTTCTTCTCTATTTATATCACTCATACTTTGACAGTTTCGAAATTAAATATATTTGAGTTCAGTTTCCTTGTCCTCAACTCTTAACCACAATTAAGGTTAAGCTTAGCACACAGACAAACTATTTCACACCACAGTGACACTATGTATTTATGCTCACTTGTATTCATTACTTTATGTATTTATTTAGATTTTTCTATGCTCACTAGATTGGTTACATGCGGTGTCAAACCTGAGACCAAAAAAAAGCATCTCATTCTTTCTCTAATAATGCTAAGTTTAGAACAAAAGTATTTTTTACATGAACATGAGCAATATGTAATGCAATTAATGTTATAACATTACACTAAAAACACTGGGTTGTTAGAATCCATGTTTGGGTGAAATATGAAAAAACCCAACCATTGGTTTAAATTATTCAATTCAATTTTTAAACCCAATGGTTGGGTTTGTCTACATTTGACCCAAACATGGGTTGAAACAACCCAGCGTTTTTATGAAATGTTTATTATTCAAGATAGTTCACAGAGCATCAAATAATGTTAACATACAGCTTTTCTTTTGTAGCCTATTACAAATGTATTAGTAAATGTTGAGATTAACATTAACTAAAATTAACAAATGCCGTAGAAGTGTTGTATGTTATTCATGTTAAATAAATGTAGTTAACTAATAACAAAAGGAACCTAAAGAGTTACACATATAAATAAACATTTGAAAGGGGCAAGAAAACATTAGTCTAAACTTCACCTGTACAGATGTTGACTTTTAAAAATATCCATCATATTGATTTAACTCAATTTGAAATTAATTAATTTGATTTTAAACACTCAATTGTATTTGACTTATAAACTATAGTTTTAAACCAAAGCATGACTCACCGTAGTTCTTTCTTGAAGCTCTACAGAAGAACACTGTTTGCCACTTCCTTAAAGAACAGGAACTTCAGAGCCTTGTGTTTTAGGTGACAAAGCAAAAAAAAAAACTGTTCAATAATATGAATTTTGGGAAATTGCTAATGTTTTTATTTGAAGCTGGTTTGTGACAATAATTTTATTCACATCTGTCTTTTGTTCACAACAGCACTGTCTTAATGATCTAGTGTTGCTCGCACGAAAAGTTCATCGTCTAACTCTTTATTACTCCTCACCATATTGCTTTCGTCAAAATAAAGCCAGATGACCTCTCAGCTTATGTTTTCAGTCCACCTCCGCATTGATTCTTTGCGTGTTTTCTCAGGACAGCGATGACCCCCGGCTCTGCTGCTTTCTGACCCTCTTAACCCCCTGGAATTAACACAGCAGTTGTCTCTCTCAATGTTCCTCTTTACTGGGAAAATTGTATTTCTCTGTGGATGTCGGGAAATCTCTTCCTTTGGTGTTCCTCAGAACAAACAAGACATAACTAATAGTAAACAAACAGAAACGACAAGAGTACAAGCAGCATTTTTCATGACACATGAAGGTCAAATGGCTGAAATTGTATTCAGACACAGTGAAGACAGTACATGAAGAAAATGCCATATTTGTAACGGTCACCGTATAGATGTGCACTACATTTCCCAGAAACCTCTTCACCACACACCTGCAGTCACTCTCCTGACTCCAAATCACCTGCACCTGTTCCAAATCAGCAGCCAGCTCCATATAAACTCCCAGTTTTCACTCAGTCATGTTCAAGCCTCTAAAAGGAACAGACCATAGACCTTATTCATAGCAGCGCCATGACGGGTATGAAAGTGAGGCTTACCGTGTTTCCAATGGCATCCGCTGTAAAAAGCTGAATAAAGCGGCTAGATTACTTACAATTTTCCACAGCTTACATTGTCGGAAGTTTTTTGTCAACTGACATTTCTTGGAAAGATATTTTTCCAGTGTTTCATGAGCAGAACAATCCGAAAACACATTACAGCCCATTGAAGAGATGCAAGTCTATCCCTCACAGCCTCGCTTTCATTCTCATTAAAAATCAAAGATGGCGCTGCCGTGACTAAGGCGTATAACCCGTCTCCAAGAAACCCTCTGATTCATCCAGCACCAGTAATGTAACGTATACTCACCTGAAATTACTAACCTCTCTGTCCATGTTCTGATGTTCCCAGACTCCACTCCATGATCCATGTTTCCTGAGTTCGTGTTCTCTCCCTGAGTCTCGTTTGCTGACGGATGTATCTGAAAGAGGAAAAGACAAGTATCATTGGACTATGTTAGTTTGATGTTGATTTCACTGAAGAGGATCTGCTCACCTGAAATCCTTTCGACGAAGTGTCCTCCTCGAATTCACCTCTGAAACACTGCAACTCTAAATACTCGCCTTTGAACTTGTAAATAAAGATTTATGTCGATTCACTTACCTCTGTCTCCGGGCCTGTATCCTGACAATATTGTTTGTTTGATGATAATTACTAATTAAAAAAGAAAGATTAATTGAACTATAAAAACAAAAACGCTTTGCTTAAATATGTTATGGCTGTATACGTTGTTGCTGTTGTTTAACCGTTTTACTTCCACATTTCTTGGAAGTAAGATGAGATGTATGTACTATTATTATAAAAACGGTAACACTTTACAATAAGGTTAACTAACAATGAGCAACACATTTGTTTTTATTGTATTGTATTTACAAATACAACCTTTAATTTTTACAAATGTATTATTAAATGTTGAAATTAAGATTATTAAATGCAAAATAAGTGTTCATTCTTAGTAACTGATGCAGTTACTAATGTTAACTAATAAACCTATTGTAAAGTGTTACCTGAAAAACATTACAAATATTTGAGTGCAGATCCATGATGAGATGAGAATAAACGAAATAAACATTGCTTTATGTTATAATAGTGCTTTATAATCAAATAAAGATATAATATTGTGTGAAATATGTAATGCACACTGGAGCCTCGTCAATAGGGCAAGCCGTTCCTCTGAAGCAAACTAACCGTAAGACATTTCATGTTCAGAGAAAAAGTTGCGATGACTACTTGCATACCCTGAAAGTTAAAGTTGAGGTTATTCGCTTACTCTGAGTAAACTTACCTAAGTTGCATAAACGTGTTTTCTTCAATACCCTCCTGCTAACAAATAACAAAGACCACGAGAAACACTGAGGATTAAATACGGTAACATGGGACAGGTGTAAGTGATTAGTTACTATGGAAACTAATAAAGGTAACTACAGAAACTGACAAGGTAGGCAATGAAACAAAGGAAACGGTAACTAAGGCCCTGTTTAGATGAGAACGCTCGCGGGTGAAAATGTAAACATATTTTAGCGGATGTGCTTTTCGTTTACGCGGCGACAGCATTTTTGGGGCTTAAAAATGCAAAAAAGTGAAACCACCCTCCAGAGTGGAAATCCTAAAAACGCTCCAGCCCCGCGTTCCCGTGTAAAGGGTAAAAACGCAAAAGTCTGCTTGACAGTGAAGGTTGTGCGCAGGCGCGCGGACTTCTTGTTGTTGTGTGGCAGTGCTCCACCTAGCCGTCTGGAGTGCATACTACATTGAATTTCACACACTTTTGCGTCACAATATGCACGCGGATTTCCCACACAAAATGCTCGTCTAAACGCCTAATAAAAAGTAATAACACAACTATTGCGTTTTCTCTTCAGAATCGTTTCCGTGGAAACAGCTTAAATGTGTTTTCACGGCATGTTGAAATTACCGTAATTATGAGATTTAAACATGTAAAAAGGGCTCATGTCATCGTAGGTGTAACACCTGACTGCTGCAGATTCATTTAGGCGTTGATAGTGGTGCCACAGAAACGGACAATTCCCTATTCTAGGGCATGAACTGCTCTGAATGCAACGTCATGTGTTGAAATTTTGATTGGGTAATTATGGCATGACGTGAACGCAGCATAAACACAGAAGAAGACCAAATACAGGAACAATGGCTTCAAAACACAGTCCAAAACCAAGAACCACAAAGACATGGGAAAAAGAAGTGATGTGATATATGAGTGACATCATGTATATTGCAAAACTGTTATGCTCATGAGTCGCCTTCATAAAAGCAACAGCCTTCTTGTCATCAGACCAGACCAGATAGCAAAGAAAAGTTACAATACTGTAATACAAAAGCAGATGCAGTGAACTCATCAGAAACTTCAAAATATGTAAGCAGAACAGTGGGTTGAGACAGTTTATATTCATTAATACCCCAGGAATGCTTTTAACATTACTTTATATTTCAGTTTAACTCTGCAATTTGAAAATGCTTTCATTTTGAGAATGTTGAAGGACCTTGTGTTTGTTTTTGTGAAAACTGAAAGTGAAAATGTGTGCGTTGGAAATTGTTTCAGTGTTTTGATTTACAGTAACACGAGTCAAACGATCCTTCCTAACGTGACAGAAGCTGAATGTTGTGATTTGTCGACTTCCTCTGGTCTAAAGCTCACGTGTTTCTGTCCGTCAGACTCTGTCTTTGGTGCTGAACCACATCAGGTGTGTCAACTAGTGAAGCTCAATGCGTCAGTACAAGACGAAAACAAAAGATGCGGGTTAGCTTTTCCCCCATGAGGAACAGCTCTTTGACTCCTGTCGATGTTCCTAAAAACAGCAGTCAGTACTATCTGTTCCTTAGAAATATGACAGTTGATTGGTGTTATGTAACGTATCAGGAATTGGCTAAGAGCAACAAGAGAAAATGTGTTTTTAGTAAATGTAATGCTGTGTAGGGTTATGCACATTGAACTGTGATACAAATAATAATAAAAACATTCTCAAAAGTGATCACATGAGATAATGCACCACAGAAACTCAATATTTACAACTAACCTCACCCAAAAAGATCAATCATTTATATTATATTAAATAATTCACCCAAAAAAATGAATCATTTACTCACCCTCAAAATGTTCCAAACCTGTATAAATGTTTTTTGTTGTTGTTGTTCTGCTGAACACAAAGGAAGATAATGTTTGTTGAAGAATAAGCAGATATCGGGCCCTATTGACTACTATAGTATTTTTCCCCAGATGCAGAATAGTTCATATTATATTATTTGGGGATTTAGATTTATAATTTATATCATATTTTAATTATTCGAAATGCTGATATAGTATCACTGTTGAAAAGTTTCTCTGGTTAATATTTTTTCAGTAGAAACTGTGATATACTTCTATTGAAAAGTCTGGGGTAAGAAAAAAAAAACAGAAAGATGCATTAAATTGATAAAAAGTGATAGAAAAGACATTTATATAATGATTCATACAAAATATTTATATTTCAAATAAATGCTGCTTTCTATTCATCAAAGAATCCTGAAATAGAAGTATCAGAGTTTCCACAAAAATATTAAGGAGCAAAAAACAAAACAAAAAAAAAACTAAAAAACATTGATAATACAAAGCACCTTGATAATTTCTAAGCGTTAAATCATCATATTAGAATGATTTCTGGAGGATCATGTGACACTGGTGACGGGAGTAATGATGCTGAAAATACTTGATCACAGGAAATAAAATACACTTGATAGTATGGTAATATACGGTTTGCTGTGTATTTATTATGAAATGCAGCTTTGCTGAGCATAAGAGACTTCTTAAAGTCATTATTTAAAGTTAATTATAATCTGTAATTTTGTATAATTGATAATCACACTTACACTCACCTAAAGGATTATTAGGAACACCTGTTCAATTTCACATTAATCCAATTATCTAATCAACCAATCACATGGCAGTTGCTTCGATCCATTTAGGGGTGTGTTCCTGGTCAAAACAATCTCCTGAACTCCAAACTGAATGTCAGAATGGGAAAGAAAAGTGATTTAAGGATTTTTGAGTGTGGCATGGTTGTTGGTGCCAGACGGGCCGGCCTGAGTATTTCACAATCTGCTCAGTAACTGAGATTTTCATGCGCAACCATTTCTAGGGTTTACAAAGAATGTTGTGAAAAGGGAAAAACATCCAGTATGCGGCAGTCCTGTGGGAAAATGGCTTGTTGATGCTAGAGGTCAGAGGAGAATGGGCCGACTGATTCAAGCTGATAGAAGAGCAACTTTGACTGAAATAACCACTCGTTACAACCGAGGTATGCAGCAAAGCATTTGTGAAGCCACAACACGCACAACCTTGAGGCGGATGGGCTACAACAGCAGAAGACCCCACCGGGTACCACTCATCTCCACTACAAATGGGAAAAAGAGGCTACAATTTGCAAGAGCTCACCCAAAATTGGACAGTTGAAGACTGTAAAAATGTTGCCTGGTCTGATGAGTCTGGATTTCTGTTGAGACATTCAGATGGTAGAGTCAGAATTTGGCGTAAACAGAATGAGAACATGGATCCATCATGCCTTGTTACCACTGTGCAGGCTGGTGGTGGTGGTGTAATGGTGTGGGGGATATTTTCTTGGCACACTTTAGGCCCCTTAGTGCCAATTGGGCATCATTTAAATGCCACGGCCTACCTGAGCATTGTTTCTGACCATGTACATCCCTTTATGGCCACCATGTACCCATCCTCTGATGGCTACTTCCAGCAGGATAATGCACCATGTCACAAACCTCGAATCATTTCAAATTGGTTTCTTGAACACGACAATGAGTTCACTGTACTAAAATGGCCCCCACAGTCACCAGATCTCAACCCAATAGAGCATCTTTGGGATGTGGTGGAACGGGAACTTCGTGCCCTGGATGTGCATCCCACAAATCTCCATCAACTGCA